ATGGGTCTCAATGGAGTTGGATCCGTGTTGCTCCTGATTTGCATCGCGTCGGGCCGTGCCAGCGAGTCCTTCGATGCCTTTGACGCGGCTCCTGCGTCGTCCAAGGCGCCCCAACCATACGGCCTAGGTAGATTATGTAGGCCGTTAAGAGTGTGTAATGTAATCTTATCTACTGTCATGCAACATAGTTATATAGTATAAAGCCCACCACTATCCCGGAGATCGATCTGGCCACGGACACTCAAAGAGAGCCTGTCCCAGAGCAACCGCCGACCAAAAGCCCGAAGAACTCCGAACCTCAAGGCCTTGAGGCAATAAACCGTAAGGTCTCTCGACCCAAAAACCCTGAGGCCTCTGCTGCATCGAAGCCGCACCGAATGGAACACCTGCGCTTCCAGCGCTCTCTCGTGGCCGACAGCGAGGACGGAGCTATTCTTGGAGCGGGGGTGTTAGTGTTGACTGGGGCGTCCAGGGCTCCTACAGCCTGTAGTAGCTATTGCGATGAAAGCGAAGAAAGTGATCCAAAGATGGAGAGCGATACAGCAGAGTTCAAAGGCCCCTCCAGGGCATGCTTTCCGTGTACTGTGTACACAGCGTAAGTAGAGGGGTTCGGGGTTTGGGTTTGACAGAGAGGGGTCTTGATGAGGCTGTAGGGCTGGAACAGCATTTCTCGGCATATTATGTTTGCAATCCGGATATTTAGGTGGCTCTTCGTAAGGTTGAAGTTTGTGATGATCTTGTTCAGAGCAAACTCCGGCTATTGTGTCATATCGCTGCAGCTTTATTTATCATAAAACGTCGCATAGCTACCGGAAGCTCCAAGCCCACAAGCCGCCAGACCTATGGCCCGACATCCTGACAGCTTTAAATTATTATTATTACTATTATTACTACAATTACTATTATTACTATTACTATAAATTAAAGAAGCTCAGAGGAGGAGGCAGCAGAGGTCCGGGAGAAGGAGAGGACGCTTTGCCACGGCCCAGTTTGTTTTTGGGAACTTTTTGTATTTTTGTACAGGCTTGCTAGGCTTGGGTTGACCTCTTTAGTGTTCCTTTGCTATGATGTACTGCGGTATGCTACATTGTACTTCAGTTTACTCTTATATCCTATAGCATACTATGATATACTATACAATATACTATGATATACTATAGTATACTCCAGTACCCCACAGTATGCTTTAATGCACCCCCCCAAGCCCTTTACTGCTGAAGCTGAGGAAGGTCTTCGAGCAGGGGAAGCACATCAGGGCCCGAAAGGCAGGGTTTGGGGTTAAGGGGTGTTAAGGGTTTAGGGTTAAGGGTTTAGGGCCGCGCTGAAGCCGAGAGGCCTTTTGTAGGGCTTTAGGCTTTAGGGTTTTGGGCCTTAGGGCGTTAGGGTTCAGGGTTGAGTCGAGGGCTTTCAGGGCTGTAGGGCGTGATTCTTGCAAGGATGCAAACCCGCCACACCTGCGCCTGAGTGAATCTGAACAAAGACTGGACATGAGCTGAGTGCCTCTCTTGTCATTTCCACTGGAGCCCTTCCGTGTATTGCTTTGCCTCCGTGCTTGTGGTGTTTCTGCTGACGCTGCCTTTGGTGCAGTCTCCGTTGTTTCTGTCGTCGGATTGATTTCTGCTCGTATCTGTTTTGTACAGTACCACCTCCTCCTCCTCCTCCTCCTCCTCCGCCTCCTCCTCCTCCTCCTCACCGCTGCCACTCCTGCTGCTGCTGCAACTCTGCTGCCAGTGCTGCGAATGTACTTGTGCTCCTGCTCTTCTACTGCTACCGCTGCTACTACTGCTACTAAGCGAGACGCTTGCCCCGATTGACTTCCCGCTAGGTTAGTGTTTCGATTCAGGACGCCAAGCGTAGGCTACGTAATGAAGCGCGATTGAGAAGAGGCAATAGTCACTAGTCAATAGTCGTCAAAGAAAGCCCTTCACTCCCACCCTTAACTTCCCAAACCAAAGGTTTAGGGTCTCCGTCTTCGCAGGCCCTCTTCGAGAAGCGCTTGGCGGCTTGCTACGGAGACGAGACTTGCCGAAAGGCTGCGGCCTGGGCTATGGGAACCGGGTAGGAGGAGTCTCGGGTGCAGGGTGGTTTATTTCAGAACCTCGGTTTCCGCTCCTGAAGCTTGGACTCCTCTGGACATCAACCCGAAGCCGTGAAGCAGTAGTTGCTACGCCTTAAGCCCCCAAGACCTGAACCCTCGCGCGACATCATTCTTGATGAACCGTTGGAGTCTTCTACTAAATCTCCACATTCGAAACCCTGACCTCCAGATTGGCGTTCAGCGGGGTTGAGGACACCCTGTCTAAACCCAAAACCTTCAAGCCTATCCCTACACAAAGCCCTGAGCCCAGAATTCGAAACCCCAAGCCCCTAAATCCCTAAAACCCCAAACTCTGCCCAACCACCATGTGGGGATACTGTGTGTAGGGTTTTGGGACTTAGTGGCTTGAAGGGTTCAGGGGCTTGAGATTCAGGGGCTTAAGGTTGCCAACTCTAGAGGTACCTAGATCCAACAGTGTTCCACGCAGCAAGAGCCGTACCTTCGAGAGCCTCCTAAACCTGAAGGCTGGTGAAAGCGCACCCTAGCACTTTACGACAGCTTCCGAAACGCCTAACCCCAAACCCTAAACCCTAAAGCTTAAACCCTAAAGCCCCAAGCTCTAAACCCTAAACCCTAAACCGTATGATTATGAAGGTGGTGGCTGCCCAGCAGCTGGAGATCGAGCGTCAGGCCCCTCTAAACGGGACGTTCTCCGTTTGGAAGGGGCTGGGGCTGCTGCTGAAAAGGGAAGGTTTCCGTCACTACGAGTAGGGGACCCTAATACAGTACCCAAAGTAGTAGGATCCTTCTGACAAGGACAAAAAATAAGGTACCCTCAATTTCTTAAACTCCCAAATGGGGTCGTCTTGCTTGACAGGTGGCCAGTGGCACGGCGCCCGCCGCTGTCGTCGAGGGCCGGGAGGAGCACAAGGCTGAGAACGGTGGCTTTAAGGAGCAGAACCCTAAACCCTAAACCCCTGCACCCTAAAACCCCCTACTTGGCGCTATCTAAGACGCAGAAACCGTAGCTGGAGCTTTTTAGTGTCATTGGGAGCTCTTCAACTCTTGTGTCGGCTGAGCTCTGGTCCGTCCCAGAGGGGGCCCCTGGGCTTTGATTTGGGGCTGCATCAAGCAGCAATGGAACCCTGGACCCAAAACCCTAAGCCTAAGTGAACCTAAAACCCCCCACATGACCCAAACCCCAACACCCGTCAGACTCCGGACGCTGAGTGCCCTGAACCACATCCCACCAAATCCAGAAGTCTCAAGCCTTGAACCCAAGCCGCGCCTTCCTTGTCCAAGGCGCACTTCCCAAAACAGCGAAAGCCCCCCCAAACCAACCAACCCAAACGTCCCCCGAACCTCCCAAGAGTTCGGCGAGGCGGGCGAGCCCCCGGTGTCCACAGGGGGATGGCTGAGGCGCGGGGGGGGGGGGGGGGGGGGGAGGGCTGCTGTTCAAGGGCATCTTCAAGGTTTTTCCTATGGGTCCCTGGGGGATTTTCTTGGGGATCCGGGCTTTGCAGACATTTTGGTGGTGGGGGGGGATGCGGAGCTTGGGGAGCTCTTCGGGCTTGCGAAAGAACGGGGGATGTCGCAATTATCATTAAGCCGCTTACTTACGGCTATTCCTGTTACCATGTCTTGCGATGAATATGAATATGATGATGATGATGATGATGACGATGAATAGTATCATAAGTTTTTGCAGAGCTTCATACATTGTTGTTGTTGCGCTTCTGGTCATCGAGTTTTGTGTCTGCTGGTGCCCCTGGGCCTCGACTGGGCAGGCAGACGCTCGGTGCCGCATTCGGATACATGCATGCCGCTCGGACGAGTTGCTTGGGATTTCTGAAAGAGAGCCTAAGTAAGGGACTAGACCAGCAGCACTTCTCTGTTGTGTGTTTCGGGTGGAGAGTTGGATGGAGATTTCTGTTCCTGCACGCTTAGGATCTCGTGTCGAAGCGGCAGGAAGCCATGTGAAAGACCCGTCGGAGCAACAGGGCTTAGTGGTTTCACCTCGCGCAACCCTCGTAGTCGCTGCGCTCAGTACAAAAAGGCGGCGATGCTTCCAGCAGCCTTTCTAGTGCCTCCGTAGATTACCCCGTAAGCAAAGCTGAAAAGGAGCACTACTCTTGGGCAAACCTTGATAATACTTCCAGAAGCTCTACTTTTTGTGCATTGCGATGGTCTCCTCAACTGCAAACCTGGCTCATGTCCAGCCGAGAGGAAGAATGCTGGGATGGTTCCTTTTCACCATAGAATCGCATTACCCGGACACCCTGTTCTGATTATGAAGGCCCCCCCTGCTCTCCCAGACGGTGAGCCCGGGGAGTGAGCTACGAGATTTGTGAACTCCAGAGCCGGATTTCCCACTTCAGTATGCCTGAAGCCCCAAGCCTCCCTACACCTCTAGCCGCCGCCGAAAGGCATCTGGGCAAACCTGTCCTTAAATGCCATGACCACATCCTTCAACCCTCCCACAGCCCCAACCTCCTCCGACCCCCAAAGGCCTTTCACAAGCCTGAAGACCCATGACCACACCCGTGCCGGATGCGAGCACCTCCGACAGCGAGTCGGTGGCACCGGCGGAGCAAGCGGGTGAGGTGGGGCGGACCCAGAGCTTGAGGCTTGGTGGTTCGGAGCTTCGTTTGAGCTCCGAGTTTTCTGTGCCCTATGGGCCTATGGGCATGAGTGAGAGCTCTTGGGCTGAACGATCGGGTTTTGGCTCAAGCCTGACTTTGCTCTAATTCCGAAGCGCTTCTTGATATCTATCGCTTGCCGGCCATGGCCTTCCGAGCTTTGTTCCTGTTCCTGAGCTTTGCGGGTGCCGTCGCAGAGGACGTCGCCACGGCTTTGGCGTCGGATGACGTCTGCGAGGCCGGGCAGGACTGCAGCTTGGAGCTCAACCAGCTCCGCGGCATCAAGGTCCACTACTTGGAGGCCCTGGAGGAGGACGAGGAGGAGTCGGAGGAGGCTGAGCTCGAGGCCGAGGGTGGCGGCTGCACCGGTGCCGCAGACATGAAGACTTGGAAGAGCGGCGGAAAGAAGAGCTTTGACGCCGCCCTCAACAGTTGCGGCCGTGGTTGTGCTGCTGGCTTCCCAATGCACCAAGGACTGCATGGAGAAGAAGGGCTACTCCGGCTCCTGCGCATCCTGCATGGCCCAGTTGGTGGGCTGTTCCCGGGACCACTGCATGAACCAGTGCATCACCAACGACAAAGCTCCTGCTTGCACGCACTGCGTCAAGTCAGCCTGTCGCCCGAAGATGAAGGCTTGCAGTGGGCTCGCTGTTGGCGGCCATTGAGCCGGCTGAGCGAAACCGTTGTACTGGTTTCAGGTCTACAAGCACCAGTCCACCCAAGGCGGTGTGTCTGGCTGCGCCTTGCATGCAGTTGCACTGGGACTATGTCCTGTCCTGGAAGCGCTGCTTGCTCCTTCCATGACCACCAGACCAGCATCTGCGGTGGAGACAAAAAACGCAGCACACCGTTGCAGTTTTCGCACTTTGATCGCCTGCCTCAGCGAGACCTTTATTCAGTCTAGAGGGATTAGCTTTTTTGGAAACGTGGCCGAGGGCAGCGAGGGACTACACCAAGCGCAGTGGACAGCTTAAGCCCTAGTTCGCCTTCAGTGGAGGTCCATCGCGCTTCATCGTGCTGCTCCTGGGTTTCCTTTCAAACTTTGATTTATGGGTAACGCTGCTTCTTCGTCACCTTCGACATAAATTAGCAGGACCCGGCCCCCAAACCAAGCCCAGCCACGCCGCGCCCCCTCCAAAACCCAAAGCGGAGGGCCTAAACTTCGAGACACCGCAAGTCGGAAGAGCCCTATCTCTTCTAGATCCTGTACCCTGAACTCTACGGTAAACCCCATAAGCCCAAAACCCGGCGCAGGGGGCATCTCAGTCTCTGCAGAAGAGCGAGCTGAAGCGGCTCCGGAAAGCGGAGCTCAAAGAGCAGAAGAGGCTGCACGCCAAGGAGCAGAGGCAGGGGGAGAAGAAGCTCTGCTAAGGTTTGGGGTAGTTTCGGGTTTCTGTTCAGCTCATAGTATCACGGGTTTGGGAAAGTGTCGAGTTTCACTCGGTTGAGGTTTGGGCTTTGGGCGGAGTCTGGGGTTGTTAAATGTCCCCCCCCCAACAAGACGGCTTAGATTTGAGACCCTGAACCTTAAATTCCCTAAATCCGAAGCCGTAAACCCTAAATCCTAAACCCTGAACCTTAAATCCTAAATCCAGAACCCCCCCGAACTGCAGGCAGCAGAAGAAGAAGGCCCAGAAGCAGCGGAAGCAGGAGCTGCGACAAGAGCATCTGGAGTCGATGAGCGCAGCAGAGCGAGCGGAGTTCCTGGAGAAGGAGCGTGAGGCTTCGGGTCTTTTTGGGGGCTGGCTCTCAGGATTGCTGAACCTTGGATCCCTCTATCTCTAAATCCCTTCGTGTGACAGCTTCCGCATGAGACTCTCCTTGTGCTGTTTGGGAACTTGACGACTGCCAAGGTGTTCGCATGTTCCTTCTGCAGTAGAGAGAGACACTCGAGGTTTGCTGCCCCGGCACCAGGGTGGTTAGAGTTGCAGCTTGAACCCTGGGCGGAAGGCCGGAAGAGAGAGGAAGGCGGCCATAGAAGCGACGCTGGACTATTCTTTCCACCATGGTCGTCCTCGCATCGTCATCAACTGCAGCTTCAGCGACACGATGGACGTGCGGGAGCTCACATCTTTGGCCAAGCAGGTGCAGCTGTCCTACACGCAAGCACGGGATTCGAACTCCAAAGTGCAGCTGCACGTCACGTCGCTCCATGCGCAGAACCCTGTGATTCACTCCCTGGAGAAGCAGGGCATGAAGAGCTGGAAGCTGCACCTTCACGAGGAATCTGTTTGGGATGTCTTCGCAACGGAAGCAAGGCCGGCTTGTTTCGATGCAGTCGGTTTTGGAGTCTGTCTAACTTGGAGCTGGCATGAACTAAAGCGCTGCACATCTTGGCTTATCTAAGATGCATGCGAGTACGATGTTCGGGGTCTTTCTTTGGTGCAAGTACCTGGAGCTCCAGTAGCAACCCTGCCGTCGATTAAGCTTTGGGCTTTGGACCCCCTCTACTGTAATCCTTAAACTTGATGGCAGAAGCCCCAGAACATCCTCAGATTGCTGCCATGTACTCGTACAAACCGAATTAGTTCATATTGTGCACCAACCAGAACCTGATTCTGATTTTCGACCGTTACCCAGCCCCCAAGACCTAAGCCCTGAACCTCTTCGCCTCGTTTTGGGAGGGAGGGGCGCCTTGTCGTCTTGACGCCGGATGCAGAGGAGGAGCGCTTGTTTCCTGGGGACAGGGTGGGCCCCCCACCGCCTGCATCATCCTAAATCCCTAAGCCCCAACACGGTCAACGAACTCTTCGTCGCGAACGCTTGTGTACTTCATCCACAGAACCCATGAGGCACGGAGCCTGGTAAGATCAAAGCCAGAGATATATCACATATGCTCTCGGGACCAATGGTATCCCCCCCACCCCCCCTGCTGCACGCCCACCCGCCCCGCCCCGACCCGCACCTGCCCCTTCACCTGGTGCGCGGATCTGTTTTCGTCGCACTATGCCCTTCCGTGTGCGGAAGCCGGCAATCGGCGCAGTAGTTTCCAGCATCTCACATGAAGTGCAATGCTGAATTATGAGGGTTGTATGGCGATGGTGATGGTGGAAGATATTCTTTTGATGGTATTAATGATGAAGATGACGACGACAAGGATGATGTTGAGCATGGTCTAACTGTCGACTCATGTCTCGGTCTAGAGCAGCACAACATCATGAGCAGTATCACCGTTGCCACAGCAAGTGGGAAGACATGGAGTAACACATAAGAACGTCGCGGCAAAAAGTGTACCACCACAGGCCCCACACCACGGGCGGGGGGGGGGGGGGGGGGGGGGGAGGATACCATTTGGTGGGGGGGGAGGGGGGGGTGTGGCAGCCCTGCATCATATATGATATGTAATATATATATATATATATATATATATATATATATATACATATAACTTGAAGACATAATATATAATATACACTTGAAAGCCAGAGGAGTTGCTGGAGGTCCTGGAGGAGGAGGTGTACGTGGTCGGTGGCATCGTCGATCGCTCTGCTGCGCGGCCTTGAAGATTGGGAGCTTCGGTATTGGGGGCTTTGTTTCTGCATGCACTGCTTTATCATTATTCGGTGTATTCTTCTTGTCCGTAGTATCGTTCTTATCATTATAGACGTGCTTCTTCTACTTCTTCTAAGTCTTGGTCCTAGTCCTAGACTTCGTCTTCGTCCTAGTCTTAGCCTCAGGTTAGTCTTAGTCGGCGGCTTACTTGTCTTGCTCTTGTTCTTGTTGTTATGCCTATGCTTGGTCTTGTTCTATGACTCATGACAATGACAGTTTTTCTTGTCTCTTTGCTTCTTTGTTTCCTGCTTTGTAGTTTGTATTGGTGTTCGAGATGATGGCTGGAGTTTGATCATTTGAGCCAGAGCTGTCCTTTCTGATAAGCTTGGTCATGAGCGGGATGCTGATGTTGATGACTGATGACGGCGGGCAGTGTGGGTGCTGGTGACGGTCGCTTCGTGCGTCTGCAGCTGGACATTTTCTTATATAGAGATAGAAAACGTATCCCTTGTAGTCCCTATATATGTAGTACCGGTATAAGTGCTGCTGTTGTTCATCTTTGGTGCTTTTCTTGCTGTGGTTGTCGTCGTCCTCCCTGTCATCGCGAGCCGTTCTGGGACCCGAGTAATTCCTTGCAGTCCCTACTATAGGTATATTACAATAGACCCCCCCCCCAAACCCCCAAATTCTAAACCCCATGCCCAAAACCCTAGACCCTACCCAATCCGGGTTGGGAAAGTGCATTGCGCGGACCCCAAAAAGGCCTTCAACAAAAAAACACCTAAACGCTTCGATCCGAAACTCCCAAGCCCCCCAGGTGAAGAAGATGCAGAGCCGCTCGCAAGCCGTCGACCAGGGTGCCACGAAGCGCCTTGGTTTCTCAGATTGAATGTTTAGGATGCTTAAGGTCTTCGGCTTTCCGGGGGTTTAGAGTTTGGGATGTAGAATGTAGGGTTTAGAGATCAGGGCTTTCGAACTTCAGTTTCGAATTATTTTTGTTGTGGATGTTTCAACCTCTCAACTGCAAGACTCCCACCTGTCGCAGGTTTTCAGCTCAGGCCCTTGTGGAGAAAAATCTCTGCCGGACCAGGTTTGTTCTTGCATGTCGAACAGGACCCCCAAACCTTAGTCCCCAAGGCACCACTGCCCCGCGTCCCAAGACTCCAGTCAAAGTGGCCCCAAAGGGTGGCGCTCTAAGGGCTTCACAAGGCTGTGTAGGTGTTCTATGCTGCATTTGCACCGGGCTCCAGCGAAACCCTAAACCGTTCATGGGAGGCTCCGCAAGCTGCCGCTGAAGCGCTTTGGCCCATCTGGCTGCTGCCCGGTGCCTCGGTCGAAGACAGCGGTTCTCACGAATTTTGGGTGTTGCTTGGCTTCGGCCCAACCCCTAAAGTCCTGTTGTGTTAACCTCCAGAGTCCAGAGCTTCATGGTTTTCGGGCCTTGAGGCCTCGGCCAGGCTAGCAGGCTAGCTCCGTTTTGGGTTCAGGCCTAGACTTTGTAGGGTTGGAGTCTGCGGGGTTTCCAGAGGTTCAGCACCTGGGAACACTGCCGGCTCTTAAGCTCTAATCGCACACGAGGAGTTTCATCCAACCGTGGCTCAGGTGTTGAACATCGACTGTGTTGTGCCGGCCCCAGACAGGAAAAGGCAGGCAGTACACGTCTGTCAGGAGCAACTGTCGTTGTAGTCGTCATGGTAGCAGCAGCAGCAGCAGCAGCAGTCCATTAGTAGGGGCAGGAGCAAGAGCAGCGCACACGAACGAACATTATGATTACAATAGTTAGCTAACAATAACAAGAACGGCAACAAGTGCTAATGACAAACGCAACGTCAGTTCGGATGTGAGGATTAGCAGCAGGGCCAGACATGGTAGCCACAGCCGGGTTCATAACCTCAGTACGATCCTGGCTGTGATTATTATGAGCATGGAGCTTTCTGGCTTTTATGATAATGTCATCTTTGCCGCTCGTTCTGGTCCCCGACCGGAAGCTTTCAACCTTAGCTCTAAAGTCCTGAAGCTTGAAGCCCGAAGGACCTGAAGTGTGAATATTGCCTCGCCTTTCAGGCTTTAAGCCGGAATGTCAGGAGCCGAAGGACCCTTCCGGCCTCTCCGCTCTGCCTGTGCTCTGTTTCGGCTCAGCTCGGGTCGAAGCCATGGTGCCTGACTATTCGAGCTCGAAGGACCACTGTTTCCACGGGGTTTCGGGTTTACCACTTCTGAGAGCCGGGCAAGGCTTGAGAGCTTAGGAGTGTCTAGAGACTTGTTTCCCGGACCACTGGCCACAGAGGCTTTTGCAAATACACTTTCAAAAAATGCGACGAGACCAGGAACCCCTGCAGGGCACAGCCGTGGATGCTGACGAGGCAAGTCGGCACGCAATGGATGTCCCTAAAGCACCAGACTTCTCGACGCAACGGCTAGAGATTGCAACCAGAAAGCCATGCATGTAGTCATGTGGGGTTTCAGGCTGTTGGAACTATGAATCATCTGCCCATCGTAAGCTGGTTGGGCAGGATCTCCGCGCAAGTGAAGTTGTTCAGAGACTCTGCGGCGGAAAGGTCGCAGCCGTGCGATTCCTAGTCACTTCGAGTTCAGGTGTCTACGTCCGTTGTCTTTGCTGACCCTGTCAGAAGTCGGACTCTGGCCCCCCATAGAATCCATAGAACTTCCTGGGATCGCCTCTCCCTTGAACCCTCCTCTGGTGGTTTAGACCGCTCTGTGTCTTCCCCCGTGTGAGAACTCAGCGAGCCGAGGCCTTGGTCTGTTGCTGCTGGCTTGGATTTGCTGGGGCAGCTCTGCTCTCCTATCTCTGACGGAGTGTGACTCAACCACGGTATTCCAAAGCTCGGGTGGTGCTGCGACGGAATGGCACATGCTGGTCATAAACATCCCGAAAGCTGGCGGTGATCTAGACGGAACCAGAATCAAGAAGCGGTAATGTGATTCCTGCAGAAGCTGGTATTTCATGTGCTTGGTCTTACCTACAGCAGGAAGTTACGGGCCTTGCAAACAGCGGGCCTTGAAGAGTAGCCGGCAAGCGCCCAAAGTGGCAGCTCAGGAACTGCAACATGCTCTCAGGATGGAAGGTCGAAGGTAGCTCGGAATATGCTAGTCTGCTAGTGGCATGCTGCTGCGGCTTTGCGACTTAAAGTGTAGCATCGACTATATCCTACGGCGTCTAAGGCCCTGAGGCGAAGGGGGATACTTAAACCCTGAACCCTCAACGAGAAGCCGAAATTGATAACTCGCGCTCCTTCCGTGCCGAAGGCGCTGAAGGAGGCTTTGAGTTTTGCTCCGGGGTCCGACAGCTTAGGGAATAGAGTCAATCAAGCCCAGTAGGGCTGCAGGACCTGCGGACTAGGGATGGCAGCTTCTCTGGCTCTGCATTGGCCCAGATGGCTTTAGACATTCGCTGGTTCAAGCTCTAATCTAAGGAAACTCGTGGTCAAATGCTGGGTTTTGTCATCCCGTTCCACGCAGTCTTGCCGAACGGTTCCACAGAGATGAAAGGGAATCAAGGTTTGGGGGCATTCGCGGGGAAGCGACAACATGAGCAACGGAACACCAGCAACATCCTAATTGCTGACTGACTGCAATGACTGCAGACACCGAAATCTTGTACAACGCGCCGTAGCCATTTTTGCAATTTTGGCTCCAGCCAGACTTTAGGCCTCCTGTCTCCTGCTTCAATCTCGTGGATCGATGGCAAGTTGCTGGTCCTGTCTCCTGACTCAATCTCGTGGATCGATGGCAAGTTGCTGCCCCCCAGATTCCTGGCCAGCTTGCCAGAAGCCCGATGACTACAAGCCCAAGGGCACAGAGACAAAGATAGGCGAGCTGCCAGTATACAGCGTGGGCACCGGAGACAAGGCCATCTTGGTACTGCCCGACATCTTCGGCTGGTCGTCCAACCAAGGTAGGCTCATGGGTATCGCAGACACCCTGGCCGATCAGGGGTACAGAGTGCTGCTTTCAGACCCCTTCTACGGAGACTCTGCCGTGGGGAAGGAGGACATCATGGGCTGGGTCACACAGTTTCCTTTTGACAAGAAAATTGGTGCCGACATCGAGGCATGCGTAAAGCACCTGCAAGATCAGGGCTGCAGCAGTGTGGGCGCAGTTGGCTTTTGCTGGGGCGTCTGGGCATTTTGCAAGTCTGCCTCCATGGGTGTGCCCCTGAAGTGTGGCGTCGGACCTCATCCCAGCACACGGCTGGAAGGGGCATTCGGCGGAGATGAACAGGCCATGATGGACAAGGTCAACATGCCAGTCCTCCTCATGCCAGCTGGCAACGACCCTGAGAACCTCAAGGAGGGCGGTGCGATCGCCGAGTCCCTGGCAAAGAAGGGTGGAAAGTCCGTGACATTCCCGGACATGCAGCACGGCTGGTGCTGCCGTGGCGACCTCGGTCAAGCGGAGGTGAAGCGTGATGTGGAGGCAGCCATGGAGCACATGGTAGACTTTTTCAAGTCCAACCTCTGAGCCTCGTCTGGATCTGAGTAGTATGGATCATGGACGAATTGGACTCTTTACTTTTGGGAACATTTTCACCCAGTCACAGAGCTGGAGGGATGTACAGCGCGCCACATGGCAGTCAGGTCAGCTACTAACTTTTTCAAGTCCAACCTCTGAGCCGTCGGCTGGATCTGTGTAGTGGGATGTACAGCGCGCCACATGACAGTCAGATCACCTACTATGCCTTTCGGTTTTGAAGGAGCTTACTCTGTGGTCTGGAGTGGGCCCGTTCAGGGGAGGCAGATATTCCCATGACGCCCGTTCCTTGCTAGGCTCAGCCCTGCTTCTCAGAGCACGGAAGATCCGAGTCCCTGACCCTGTAAACTCTAGGAATCTGACACAGATCTCCGCCAGAAGAAACCTTCAACGCTAAATAGTTAGTGACTTTCCGCGCATTTCCAGATTGGTTTTGGAAGAACCCAACAACGCTGTTTCAAGTAAGCCTGTCGTCGTTGATCGCTCAATTCCAAAGTCTCAAGTCGGGTTTCCATTGGTGCCCTGTGTAAAGGTTCCAAACTGGAGAGAATTACCTATGCGCCTCAGGTGCGAATACTCTGCGAGTGGTTGAAAGGAGATGGCAGCTGGCGGGAAGCCCAGCATCGACGCAACCAAGACAATTTGTATTTATATGCATGTATGCATGTATGTGTGTATGTATGAATGTCGTAGGTATGTCAATGTATGTATGTATGCATGTATGTATGTACGGATGTATGCATGCATGTATGTCTGTATGTCTGTATGTTTGTATGGCAGCTGGCGGGAAGCCCAGCATCGATGCAACCAAGACAATTTGTATTTATATGCATGTATGCATGTATGTGTGTATGTATGAATGTCGTAGGTATGTCAATGTATGTATGTATGCATGTATGTATGTACGGATGTATGCATGCATGTATGTCTGTATGTCTGTATGTTTGTATGGCAGCTGGCGGGAAGCCCAGCATCGATGCAACCAAGACAATTTGTATTTATATGCATGTATGCATGTATGTGTGTATGTATGAATGTCGTAGGTATGTCAATGTATGTATGTATGCATGTATGTATGTACGGATGTATGCATGCATGTATGTCTGTATGTCTGTATGTTTGTATGGCAGCTGGCGGGAAGCCCAGCATCGACGCAACCAAGACAATTTGTATTTATATGCATGTATGCATGTATGTGTGTATGTATGAATGTACGTAGGTATGTCAATGTATGTATGTATGCATGTATGTATGTACGCATGTATGCATGCATGTATGTCTGTATGTCTGTACGTCTGTATGTTTGTATGTCTGTATGTCTGTATGAATGTATGTCTGTCTATCTGTATGTATGTATGTATGTATACGCATACACGCACACAGTACTCATGTCTGTGGTGTGTATGTATGTATGTATGTCAGCAAGTATGTATGTATGTATGTATGTATGTAGGTATGTATGTATGTGTCTATGTATGTATGTATGTAAGCAAGTATGTATGTAGGTATGTATGTTGACAGAAAGGGTGGATGAATAGAAAACGCGCAGTTCGAGCTGTCCAATGAACGGATGTGCATTCGTGTGTTTACACACATGCACATATGGATGTAGGCCTGTCCGTGTGTCTGTTTGCCTGTGCATTTATCGGCAGGCATTGGTGGCCTGTATCTTGCCATGCTCCACATGGAAACAGACGTAGCCTTGCAATGAAGTGTTGACGTCTTCTGTCTCGTGAGGCAGCCCGTGTTTGAGCGGTGCTTGCTCGAGCCTGAGGCTTCGCGAATCTTTTAACCGGGTTCGGGGCACTTCCAGGGCGACACGGGGGCGTGTAGGCACCGCAGGGCTTTGCCGAGCTCTGGGGTTCCTGAGCCCTGGAATGACTAGGAAGGCAAGGCTTGGCTCGCATAAGTTCACAGCAACTGCATCTCAACAGCTGCATACTCAGGCCCTCGCGACGTGTCGGTGACCGTGCCGCCTGCGACTGAGGGCGCTTTTGAGGTTTGAGGGTCGCAGAGACCCTCGCCCTCCTCTCGGATCCCGCACCTCCGACGAGGTCTTGTCCAAGCGGCAGCGCCGAACCCAGCGCGCGTTGGAGAGAGCTGGACAGGAGCCCGTGGCTGAAGTGCTCGGTTTAAGATGTATTGTGGGGTGGGGCCGGTGGGGTTTAGGCGCTTCGGGTCTGGTTTTACATGCAGAAAGTACTGCCCAGTCCGTAGATTCGCGAAATGTTTAGACCGAGTGAGGGGTTCAAGGTTGTAGTGGTTATCTTGCCTGTGTTTGTTTGAGCTTCTGGTTGGAGGAGATTTGGCAAATTGGGTGCAGGGCTCTGCTGTAACTATTGCTGCAGTATGTACTCAGTACTCCTGCAACTCCGCTCGCAATAGTTGTTGCTGTATTCTTTACGATTTTTGTCAAATGTTAATTCATGAAGCATGATTGGCCATACGGTGTCCAGCGCTGCGGAGCTTGCTATTGCTACTGCCACTGCTGCAGGGGCTGCAGCCGCCTGCTACAGCTACCACTATTTCTGTGTTTTTGCTGCCGCAGAGCCATCGCCGCGTTCCATACTGCCCTGCCAGCACCGACATGTTTTTGCTACCGCTACTGTGTCCACCTCTTTTGGAGTTGCTCCTCAGGGAACCCTTCGAGTAAACACGCAGTCGAATGCAGATTGTTGCACGAGCTTTCAACATATCCATCTTTCGTGGGCTTCCGAAGCGGTTGCAGAAGGCAGAAACAACCCTCTCCCTCTGTGGTCGGGAGGTCGGAATGCCTCTGGTGTGTCCGGGAACCCTGAACCCGGCAGAACGGGCTTTGCAGGCCGCGTCCGTAGACGACGATGGCTGAGGCTCGAGTGCCTGATTTCTAAAGTGTTCAGTTTTTTGTTTGCTCCGGCGTGCACGGTCTCAGAAGCCCGATTGGTGCTAGGAGGGCGTGTTCTCACCAGTACGACGAGGATTGCTGTCAGTACGGTTGCTTCTGCTGGCATGTCTTCTGCTCCTTGAACAAAGGACGCCTCGGTGCAAGTTTATAGCTCAAGCCGGCGCACCCAAAGCCCACCTCCTTATCTTGCACTCTGGTCGTACTATGATCGACTACAAGCATGGGGCCTGGGGAATGGGGGTCCTCTTCATGAAGAGACTGGGCTTTGGAGTACCATCCTTGAATACTTTTTTGGTGCCTCTTACTTCAAGGAGAAGCATTATGAACTAAACGTCGATGCTTTTTCCCTCCCGGTTAATTCAAAGCCCAGGAGAGGGTCGGTGATCCCCAAGGCCCTCGTGTGGTCTCTACCATGTGCGACCATCACAGTGCTCTTGCACATTTTTTGGGCCACGCAGAAGGGCGACAACAACACAGAGATGGAGGGAATCAATACCATCTGGTCCGGATACACTTTCGTGCTTGGTTTCCTCATTGTTTTCCGTAGCAACCAGGCGTACTCACGGTTTTGGGAGAGCGTCACTTTGTTTCACCAAATCACGGGGGAGTGGACCAGTGCCGTCAGCAACCTGCTCTCCTTCTGCAGTCCCAACATCGATAAGCATAGAGAAGTGGAAGATTTTCGGCAGTATCTCATCCGCCTCCTGAGCTTGCTTCATTGCAATGCGCTGCAGACCATCTGCGACCTCGCAGATGATACTCTGGAGGTCCTGAACCTGGGAGGCATCGATGCAGTCAGCCTGCTGCATCTCAGGACCAGCCCGGATCGCTGCGAGATCGTGATGTTGTGGATTGAGCGTCTCATAATAGAGGCAGACAGGAAGAAGACGCTGGAGGTGCCTCCGCCGATCCTCTCCCGAGCTTTCCAGGAACTATCGCGTGGCATGGTAAGCGTCACAAACGTGCGGAAGATCAGAAAGGTGCCCTTCCCGTTCCCTTATTCACAATACCTGTCATACATGCTGATTCTTCACTGGATCCTTACACCACTTGTTGCCAGCCAGACGGTGCTGAAGCCATGGTGGGCCGGTATCATTGTTCCTGGGCCGCAGATAAGAAACCAACAAATAGCACACACAAACACAGACACACACACACACACACGCGCACTCTGTCTCGATTTTTTTGGGTAAAGAGATACTTATATAAGATGTAGATGCATATACAGATATACAGACAGCCAGCCGGCCAGGCACGCAGGCAGGCAGAGAGACAGACAGACAGATAGAGACAGAGAGACACAGAGAGAGAGAGAGAGAGAGACAGACAGAGAGACAGACAGAGACAGACACAGAGATAGATTGAGACAGAGAGCACACATCCCAATTGCAGCCCTGGCGAAAGAAAGACAGACAGGGACCGAATGAGACAGAGACAAGTAGAAACGGGCGGAGACACACAGGGACAGACAGAGACAGAGACACAGATAGAGACAGAAACGAAGACAGACAGAGATAGACGGAGAGTCAAGGAGACGGACAGAACAGATACACAGACAAACAGATGGACATACAGAGAGAAACAAAGACACAGGCAGAGACAGACAGACGGACAGACCGACAGAACATCCATACTTAGACGCAGTAAACAAAGTCCTGGTGGCGGGATTTAGCGCTGTTTCGTGGTCGCTAGAAGCCAGGTCTTCGTGGTGTCCACATCGTATTGGACGCTCTTTTACATCGCCCAGGAGAGGCTTGGATGCACCTCGGGACCCGGGGGGACATAATCACACCTCGAACCGTCAGAGTCTTCAGCTTTCAGGGGGGCGAAAGGCGGTAGCAGAACAAGGCTGCAAGCACATGTAATATCCGAAGAAGGGAAGCAAGCCTTCCGGTCCATGGGGTTCAGGCTTTGCCGCTTCACTCCTTGCTGACCTTAGCAACTTCGAACCCTGCGGTGCATATGCCCTCAGCATTCAACTACCCGCAGAAGAAATCTGCTCACCACCACGCTTGTCAGCACCATGACGTCGCTACCTACACCATTGCCACTCGCAGCCGCCCCCTCCTCCCCCTCCTCCTCCTCCTTGTCATCGTCATCATCTGCCACGAGCCATCCATCATGCAGCAGCAGCAGCAGCAACAACAGCAACTCGATCAATCGCCACTGTCGCTACTACTGATGGTCGTGGTGGTGGTGCGGGTGTTGCTGCTGCTGCTGCTGCTGCTGGCTTTCTTGCTGTCTGTTGCTGGTACTGCGGCCGAACCTCGTATCCAGCTCGTATCCAGAGTTGGCGCCCTAAGCCCTAAACCAAGGATCGACCAGCCCTTCGGGGAGGATGCAAACGACCTCCCGGTTAGGGAAATGCAGCGCGAGTTCAACGCGAAGCTGGAGCCCCTCACCGCAAAAATCAGCGGCTTCAGCAGTAGAGGAGTTCGAAAGCTTGAAGGTTCGCCGAGTTCCGAGCTTCAAGTTTGACAGTTCCCAAGTTTGAAAGTTCGAATGTTGACAAACTTTGAAAGCCCCGGCATCATAAAGTATCATGAGTCGCGGTGCATGCTTGTTACTCAGGCTCTGCTTGCACTAGTCACTAAGCCATCCGCATAAGAGGGTTGTTCGTGGTTATTCAAGCATTCTGGAATCTGCCCGCTCATTGGGCGATGGCGCTTGCCCACATTAGCCCGACCCCACCCCATCACAGACCACCTCAGGCTGTAGCAAAAGAGCACGCGGGATCGGGGCAATGAAAAACGCTTGAAGGGGCTGAGCGTAAGTGTTGTCATGCGTGATGCTCAAGCCTTTCGAGTCGCACTGAAGCTACTGTTCCTGCTATATAAGATAGACGCCTCTACCGCCCGACGAGATCCCCACTCGACGGGCTGCAGGTTCTTCGTCCAGCCACTGTCATGGACTGTGCCGGATTTCAGCTTGGATGCCGAAGATGCGCTGGAAGTCAAGGTTTTAAACTCCAGCTTCATGTGCCTTGGACCTCGCTTCTGGCTGTCGTGCACACCCTGGACCCGATTTTTTTATTCAGCCGAGCTCGAGAGCTTTGAATCCCAACACCTTCGAAACAAAACCGCCATCTCCAAGCCTTCTGCTGCACTATGTGCCACAGAGACACGTCTAAAGTCTGTGTAAACCTTCACAACGCTCAGAACAGCTATCGCAAAGCTGCCATGCGTGCAGAGGCTTTCAGAGCGCACTTGAGCTCCTAAGAGTCGCCCAGAACCTTCCGATAATATAATATAATATAATATAATCTCAGGTGCTGCAAAGAACCCCAGGCCCAACTCCTCAACGGCACTCGCCAAAGCAAATCCCCCCGCCCCCTTGTTGAAGCCAGGCTCCGCCAGCACAGCGAGGAACTCCGCCAGCACAGCGAGGAAATCCGCTCGCGGAAGTCGTCGATACGAGGGGACGGCATCGGCTCCGAGCCGACGGCTTTGATCAAGGAGATGGATGAAGTTCGTAGTAGGGGCCCACGAAAACTTCATAAGCACAAACTATTCAAGTCTATCCTCTTATGGGTTTATGTTGAAGTGTTTTTTAGCTCCTAGTCCATCGCTTGCAGGTTCTTGGTCTCATTCTTACAGGATGCAGGGTTTCCATTTTCAGTCTTACATGCACTTCGGGTGGGTGGGAAGTGGCTTAGAAGGTTTTCTGTGTCTAGGCACAAGCAGCCCAACAAACCCCTAAACGCTAACCCCTAAACCTTAAACCCCTAAACCCCTCCCTAAACCCCCAAAACCCCTGAACCCTAAACCCTAAACCCTGCAACCCTGAATCCCGAAAGCCCGCAAAGCCCTCAGCTCTTCAGGACCCGATCTTCAGCGCCACGGACTTCTTCCTCTCCCCGGAGTCCTCGGATCTTGGGCTCGTGTTAAGGAACTTAGTTTAAGGCACCCTATTGGGGATCTATAGTAAGCAATATGGTTTCCTAACTATGGTCACTTTAATTAAACTTCCCTATTGTGGCAACTTCACATACTTCCTTATTATGGCGATGCAGTTCCTAATTATGTGGATTTAATTCCTTATTATGCCGATTTCCCTATTCTGGCGATCTAGACTAGATTGTTGAACATTTGCTCATTTTTGCGATTTAAATGCTTCCGTAATTCCTTATTATGGCAGGTTCGGTTAGATTCCCTAAACCCTAAACCCTAAACTCTGAAAGACAATCCTAAACCCTAGACTCCAAGCCGCGGGGGCCCAGGATCTCTCCGTGAACCACCCGCTAGAGCTCGCGGAGCTCCAAAACTTCCTGTCAAGCCTGATAGCACCTGGGCTCTGGGAGTTAAGAAAAGGGGCCTTATTTTAACTACCTATAATATTTTGGGGGCTCCTTATTATAGTTATAGCATAATGGGCCCCAAAACTCCCTATTCTAATAATCATTAGAGCCCCTACATTAGGGCTTAAGTTTTAGGGTTTAGGGGCTTTAGGTTTCGGGCTGTTATTAGGATTTAGGGTTTCGGGTTCGGGGTTCAGGTTTTCCATACTTTCTTGCTTTTTTGGGGGTCACCCGTTCCTTAAAGGCAGCATGAGGAACGGTTGATGATATAAATCCTGCATTACCCATAATAAGGAATATACCATAATTCCCATAGTTTAGGGTCCGTAAGGTAATGCAGGATTTATATCATCAACAGAAGTACGAGGTTCTAGTCATTTTCGCAACGCCCAGGAGCCGGAGATGGAGTCAAAGGTTTTGTGGCGGGACTTGGAAGAGCCTCTGTTCCGGAGTTGCGGTTCAGGGCGTAGGGCTGAGGGTTTCGGGGTTGAAGTTTCTATCGTTTGGGCTTGAGGATTTAGGGTGTAGATGCCAGAATAGTGCTCGTGTTTCGGAAGGAAATATTGTTTTGGTAACTTTGTATTTAGTACTTACTGTCTCCTTATTCTGGCAGTTAGCAATAAGAACGAGGAGAAGGTCCTGCGAAGAGCGCCAGAATCGTCCAGCTCAGTTCGACCAGAGAAGGATGCAGATGGTTTGACAAAGCTATCCCCCCACGAGCTGTCTCAGAGACTGCAAAGCTACCTCAAGACCCGGCCTCCGTCTCTGGACCTGGAGCTGCGGATGTTGGATCAACTGCTCACGGAGAAGTTCCGCCGCTTGAGGAGGATATGACACAGATCCCTCCGGGTAGCAGGAGGGAGATGCTAGTGCCAACGGTAGACAAACTCATACTTACGGATCGCATATCCTGGCCCATTTTGTTGTGCAACTTGCGCACAGAGTACTAGAACTGCGACGTCAACGTGATCACTGTAGCATCACCGTAACACCGTAGCAGCTACGAGGGCTAGTGCTTCCAGTAGCCATGCATAAGTAGGTACTGTCTTTGACTTGTATATAGGTTTGCTATCTGCAGCTGGACTAGTGGTAGCATCAACAAGAACTAGGTTGCGGTCTTGTCCATAAGCGGGCAGTAGCAAGAGCCTAAAAGGGCTGCTTCTGCGCCTGCGCTCATGAAGCGCTGCAGTTCATTCTCAGCCTTTTGCCAAGAAAAAACATTAATCCACGAGCCCCGCCGTCAAACACGTTCAAAATGTTTGCTTGTTCCAGTTGTTCTGCAACCGCTCTCCTTTTCACAAAATGGCGCCACTTCCGAACTCGACAAGCCTCGAGGTGTGAAGGATCTCTGGTACCGTAGGCCTCAGCAACACTGAACGATCCTTGAGCCGGCTGCGTCTGATCTGCATGCTCGCAGGACAGCGTATCTGCCTCGCAGACTGCTATCGGAAAACACTACCACACTTTTCCAACGTTTGACTATAGTGCCCGAAGCAGCAGTATTTACCGAACGTTCAGAATCGAAATTTTTCAGGTAAGGCTTGCCCTGCTTCTGCTGCCGCCGCTGCTGCTGATACGGCTATGGTGAGGGTCGCAACAACTTGCCTGATGACCTTACAGAGTCTTGTTGCTGTTTCATTGTACACGCATCCTCTGATGATGCTGAGGCTGTTTACAATACAGATGAGGATGATCATTGCTTCTCCTCCTCCTCCTCCTCCTCCTGCCCCTGTTCTGCTGTTGTTGCTGTCTTGCGTCCATCATAACTACAGGCAAGCCATGGGTGTTCTGATTCTGATGTCCTAACGATTCGGTAGGAAGTGGCCCGGCTGTTGCTGTTGACGTGTAAGTGTATGTGGAGCTTGGGTCGCAGCTTTGGTTGTGAGGGGATGGGATTGGTTTCCTTCTTCGCCAATGAGTCGCTTCATTCCTCAACCCGAACGCCCTGCATCCCAAAGCCCTGAGCCCTGCGATTCCTCAAATCCATCACCCCAAATCTAGCTGCTAGCTCCGTAACCGACAGCATCGACACACACCAGGCCTGTTTCTTTCGGGTTATCCGAAGCTCCTGCCAGGTGCCAGGCGAGGGCGCCAGTATGCGCCAGTGCAGAAAAAAGGATGCACGCCGGAGGCTTTCTGTTTCGATGCGGCCGCGGGATGTTCGTCGAAGCTCGGTTTGAATGCAGGATCTGAACGGCCCAAGCGTGGAGAGCGCACGCGCGCAGTTGTGAGGCCGCAGCTCGCAGCATGTGACTCACATCAGCCATCATGGTGAACGGGAGGTGCCGGCACACTCTTGGTACACACTCCTGTGCGGGCAGTTGGGCTTGGCTGCCGGAGGAGGTCCTGCACACCGGCCTACCCATCCCCACAGCAAAGTGTGCTATCGCCGTGCGGCGGACACAGCTACCACACTGCCGCGCTCTGTGAAGGGCCTGAGTCGTTTTCCGCCAGCATATGCAAGTGCAGTGCTGAGCTGCTGAGCGTGTCCGGGATGCGGCGTACTGCGAGAGCGAGAGAGTGCTTGAGATGCCTTTCCGGCTAACGCCAGGTGCGCGAAAGGCTGGCGGGACAGCCTCGCCAACTGTACAGTTTCCAAACGCAAGCCCAGCAGTATTCACTTTGAGATTTTATCCGGCCCACAAAGCGTGCAGCTCACCTGCACCCACGTGTCGCGACCCATGGCACACGCAGCGTTGGTTTGTGCCGGCGAGCAGCCGATATACCCACCTGGATGGGACGGCGGCATGCTTTAGGATGGCGGCTTGCCAAGGCCAAGCACAGTCGCAAGTTGCAGCCGTTTCAGGACTTCGGCAACCTGAAATCGCGAACCTCGTGCGAACTTCGCACCCTCACTGACGCTGACCTGTGGGCGAGGTCGGACACCTTAGACTTAAGACGTCCCGCCAACTCACTGTATGGATGACGTACAACGCCGGGACGGCTGCAGCCTCCCGCAAATGCACCTCCTGCGGAGCAAGGACACTGCTCCAGACCAGATGCAACTGTCGTCTGGCCACATCGCCGCGTTGCCGCATGCCGTGCGAACTTGTTTGACCGTGCGGGCCATCCGCTGGCAGAGCCTGCCCACAGCGCAGCTTGCGGCTCGATTCGGTGGTCCGTGCTTGGGACTGGCATGCTGCATGCTCGGCGGTTGTGGCGCTAAACCATCCCCGCCGTTCAAGCCGTTGCAACTTTATGTTTGCCGCGCAGTCGTGCAGCCCCTTCTTTGGCAAAAGCTCTACTTGCAGCTGTCTACTCGCGGAGCCTTCGGGATATGCAGTGGCGGATAGCCGGACGGGATGAAGAATTCACAGTGGCTGTGCACCCTAGAAAAGGCCGACTTTATGCTGTTGGTGACCACCTGTGCCGCAGCACCGCTGGCACAGGGACCTGCACGGTACCGCCGGTGTGAAAAGTGCGAGACAAAGATAGAAAATTGCAAGGATCCATTGTGATCCATTGCTGACGAGCCATAAGAAGAGAACTCTCGCGAGCGGTTAATTAGCCCTAGCCCCCGGAACGCCGAAACGCTGCTGGACCGGCACGGCGCCCGGCACACCCGGTGCGCGTGCCAGCCCTCGAGTTCCGAGGAGGTTCTTCCACCAGGTAGGTGAAGCGTTGCGCACTTCCACGCGCTGCTCGTCCGAAAGCCTGTCTGGAGCTGTATAGAAGTTGATCCTGGACGACGTATTGGGGCTCTCGAGCTCGCCACTTTCGCAGTCCGCGCATAGGGCCCTGCGGGTAGTGCTGGATGCCATGGCCCTTTCGTGCCTGGCCGCCTTCCGTAAACCAAACGGAGGTGTCGGAGGCATCGCCACAGGGGACGTGTCTAAGCGCCTCATCTCTCGAGCGCTGGCGCGCGCATTCAGTGGGGAGTTTGATGCTGCAACTGCATCAGTTCGCACTCAAACCGGCGCCGGTACTGACAGCTTGGCGGTGATGCGTCGTGCAACTGTTGATCTCGACCCACGGGCCACGCTCGTCCCTTTAGGTGGGCGAAGTGCCTACGACATTACCAGCCGCTCAACCATAGTTGCTGAGCTGCATGACACCACCCCGTCGCTCATACTGGTCGCCCGAGCCCATGTGGCGCAGAGCCAGGGGCTGTTTCAGGCTCTGTGCGCTTTGGGTTTGGGAGTTTCAATCTTCGACCCAAGAGTCAAGACATTTGAATCACGAGCATGAGGGGCCGTTGAAGTCGGGTAGCCCAAGTTGTAGTAAGTACCCCCTACTGAGTTTCAGCGATTTTGCTCTCGCAACTTCGGCTGAGCTGCATCGAGGTGACGTTTGAGGTTGCCCGGCAGACATGTGCGTACGGCAGTATGTCTGCGGGAAACTTTGGTTGGCAGCGACCTGCCGTTCTCGCATTGCAGATTTCATTTCGAGTGCGCGTGTTGTTTCATGTTGTTTCCAGCCTTGGCTCCGGCCGCGCAAACCCTCCTCCATTGACTCCGGTCCGCATGTCGAAATGTGGCTTGTGGCAGTTTTTTCGGCTGCACATGCTGTATATGAGCGCAGTTGTATGGAGCCATTGCGTTCAACACCGTATGTATACAAAAAATTTAGCGGCAGGCGAAGGAGCGCCATATTGGGGCAACCACGGTTGATTCTTTGCTGGTCATCCACGCCCGCGTTTGCCCGAGGAGGCGCGGTTGCTGCAGGAGCTTTCCCTTCTTCCCGACCTTCAATGCACGGCTCCTCCTCACCATGTGCCCCTCGCCGCGTGCTGACCACCTCCTGTCGCACTTTCCCGCCAGACCTTTCTGCGAGCTATGCGCTTGGCCACGACGATGCTGTCTCAGAGCATACCCAGTGAGGCTGGCATCCGCTTTGCGCCCCGACCGGATGCTGATCGAACTGCGGCAGCCGCTGCGGTTGCCCTTGCCTGTCGCGCTACACGGACAGTGTTGCGGCCTCCTGCATGCCGGGCTTTGGGCGCGTTTGCTGCCTGGCGTCCGCTGTGCGTCGGGTGCTGCGTGGCTGGCTCACCCAGGCCGCGACAGCTGCCCACTGCGCAGTGCATTACGTGACAGCTTGTGACAGCGGTCTGCCGAGGGGTCACGTTGCCAGATGCTGCGCCCATCCACGTCCCAGCATCACCACCATGAGCAGCAGGGCGTCCTGTTGATCCCAAGCGGGGGGTGGCGCCCGCTTTGTTTTTGCAAGAGCTGGAAAAAGTTGCGAGACTGGAAGGTGTTCTGCCTCGCCCCGCGCATGCTGCTCTTCCGCTCCGCTTGGGGACTCTAGTTTTCCGTCCTGCGAGCTCGACCGCCGTTGCGACGTGTTTGCAAATAGATAAGAGGGGTGCCCTATTAAAATCCAGGCTCAAACCCGGAATTTCATTTCTTTCGAAGCTCTTGAGGGTCATGTCGCTTGAGATGCACTTCAGGAACGCAGTGCGCATGTTGGCACGCGATTTGGATTGCTTGATGGGCCTTCGGAGTGTCGGACCACCTGGAATTTATTTCAGGTCCCGTGCAGCCGAAGAAGCCAAGAATGGTTCTGAATGTAGATGATATACTAGTCGTCACGAAAGCATTCGAAAGATCTCAACGCTCTTCATAGCACGGAGAATCCTGCAAAAATTCCTCACGGATCCTGAGCGAAGACCCAAACATCCTGATTTCCGAAGCATACCGAGCATTGATCAGCCAGTGCGGTGTCGGATTCTGAAAGAGAAGAATGGGGTCATGGCACACTGCCGGCGCGGGCTTGCGCGAGAAGTCGGAGGAAGGTCGCGGCGAGCACGGAGCAAAACTCCGGGTAGGTGTGCCGGCGCTTGCGCTGCGACGCGCGGGCCAACGCAACGTCCGGTTGCGCATGAGCCGTGG